GATAGATAGAGGGTATATTGATAGATAGAGGGTATATTGATAGATAGAGGGTATATTGATAGATAGATAGATAGATAGATAGATAGATAGATAGAGGGTATATTGATAGAGGATATATTGATAGATAGATCGATGGATAGATAGAGGGTATATTGATAGATAGAGGGTATATTGACAGATAGATAGATGGATAGATAAATAGATGGATAGATAGATAGATGGATAGATAGAGGGTCTATTGATAGATAGATAGATATAGATAGAGGGTATATTGATAGATAGAGGGTATATTGATAGATAGACGGATAGATAGAGGGTATATTGATAGATAGAGGGTATATAGATAGATAGAGGGTATATAGATAGATAGAGGGTATATAGATAGATAGATAGATAGATAGATAGATAGAAAGGAATACATTATGAGACAGACAGATGCAGAGACAGAAAGACTGTGATAAATAGAGGCGTGTAGAGAAAGAGAGAGAATGTTACGCAGATAGAAAGCGCATGCAACACTTTTTCTTTTTTTTTTACCGTTCTCGCGCCAGCATAAAGAAACGGCAGCAGAGGGGTTCCGCTCAGCTACCACTGCGTCCGCATAAAGAAGCCGTAAGCTTGAGTCCTTTCTCGCCACTGACTTTTTTTTTCTTTCGCGTTTCGACATCAGTGACCCCTTTCGGAACGAGAACACGAAGATGGAGCTTTTCTCGATTCTATGGCGTTCGTTGGCATTGAATATTCCGTGCAGCGAGTAGGGAGGCAGTTCCGACTTGAGTAACGATGAAAGCGCGACGCCAGTTTGATATTGGCGCCGCGAACGACGGCTGGTATGTAGTACGTGATATTGATCTACGTTTTTATACGTGGTGCTGGCACGCGTTAGCGATGCCCTATGTGACCGAGATTACGGTTGGGCTCGTTGGTTGGACACGCTGTCGTAGCCAGGGGGCCGGTTCGGTGGGATCTAACCCTCCCACCTCACAGAGTTTTTACGTTGCATACATATATACACACACAAACGCACACACGAACATTCATAAATTGAGCCGTACACCAGCCTCCCCGCTCGTACTCGAAAAAAAAAAATTGTTATGAGCGCACCAAAGTGAGAAAAAAAAAGGAAGAGAAAGAGATAGAGAGGAAAGGCAGGAGGGAGGTTAACCAAGCTAGGCTCGGTTGGCTACCCTACACTTGGGGTGAGAAAAAGGGAGAATAATAGAAAGAAATAGAAAAGAAGAGTAAGAAAGAGAAGGATAAAAAAGCGCTAGAGCCGCCTTTGCCTTGGTTTGACTTGTACCGGGGTCGTAGGTACGCAGAAACGAAAGTTCAGTCCTCAGTGAACCGTATGTTTCTTCACCTCCATTTTTTTTCCCGCCCCTATTAGTTGTACCCAGTACGCATGTGTGCCAGCTATGGCTGTATACAATGCATCACAGACATGTCCCTGAGTAAAAGTTTAGAGCGTAGAGATAGAGCGTAAGCCAACCTACGTTCTCTCGTTAACGATACTACTAAATATAATCCACTAGAAGTTGCCCGTATTGACGCTACGTCCTGATAACATACTTCTGTGGCACCCACTACTATTGATATCACATTGTGGTTGTACAGTGCACCAATGCATAGGTGCACGTTCGACGTTTACCTGTGGTACAGCGATACACAGTAACACTACGGGCCGCTCTTACATATCCATTACTACATGTACTAGTGCGCTGTAGGTTGATCGCTACTTCGGTTGCCGCTGCAGTTTGCCATACATCGCAATGATATTGGTAATTGTATATCGCCATTACGCAGTCATGCGTGTGCATTTAGTGCCGATTTCGACCGGCCTGTTAGGTTTGGAAATACTTTATATATCGTGCTGTAAGGAACCGTGTTTCATTCCAATACGTCGTACTAACACGTCCAATCAACCACTTTAGCTACGTAGTTCATCGTGTCCGTGAAATAACGTTCAGTAGCGATACCGATGATCCATGAAACGTTGGCCGGTGCTGGTATACTGCGTATGGGTGTCTGGTCGTGGTACCCGAGACCATTCTTGCTGCTTTAATTAGTGCCGCATTGCGTACCACTGACTTGTAGTCCCACGTAGCATTTTCAGCAAACGCAGCTACGACATCACGCGTCCCAATTACCATGCGTTCAAATATAGTAACAATACTGATTGTTGGTTTAGTTGGTACTTGCCGCGTGTTCTTGTCGTTGAGTGTTTCTTTACTTTGCGTGTGTGTTATTTTGCGGCCAAAGCATGTCAGTATCCAAATATAGGTCACCACAGGCGCAAGAACTTGTGCGGTACGTTAGCCGCCAGCCACGTGAAAAGTGCCACCGACTCGAAAAGCTCGTATATCAGTAATGCGTTCTGGCAGGCTAGTTGGTTCGTCGCTGTTAAACGTTCAATCCAAACTACGTAAAATGACAAAGACACGAGTACGTACACACAGAACAATACGAGTGCAGTGTTGTTCTGTGCGTTCTGTTATTCCTGTTTTTTTTTGTCATTTCGCACAGTTTAGGAACGTTTGAAGACTGTGTTTTCTCGCACAGATGGCCCCGCCGCGGTGGTCTATTGGCTAAGGTACTCGGCTGCTGACCCGCAAGTCGCGGGTTCGATTCCCGGCTGCGGCGGCTGCATTTCCGATGGAGGCGGAAATGTTGTAGGCCCGTGTACTCAGATTTGGGTGCACGTTAAAGAACCCCAGGTGGTCAAAATTTCCGGAGCCCTCCACTACGGCGTCTTTCATAATCAAATGGTGGTTTTGGGACGTTAAACCCCACAAATCAATCAATCATTCTCGCACAGATGAGGTGACGCGATGGCAAAGTAGTATTAATCGTCCACTAGAATCACTGCACTGGTTGGGTTTAGGTAGCTTAAGGAATATCTAGGACAGTAATGAGGTTTCGTTTGTGGCATTTGCGTCATGTGAAAGAATCGTTCGACGGGAGACATCTATTCACTTCGAATCGATGAAGGAAACCCATGATCATCGGCGCGCGGCGTTGATCGAGGGGCTCTAAGAGGACGGCAGTATACGCAGATGAAAGGCAGCCGCAACCCTGATGACTACTCGATGACAACTTGCGCGCGCATGGTCTCTCACCGCATAGCGACCGGGAATCGTTCCCAACACTTGAGCGCTCTCTGCACGGAACTGTTGGGAGACGCTGCCGGGTTATAAAGCGCAGCCGAGTGAACGCGCCGACGGCGCCACGGCGTCTCAAAATAGAACCCAGGTGGCGCCACTCGACGAAGGCGTGCGCGTCGCCTCCCAATGGCGAAAGGGGAGAAAGGACGGCATCGTTTATTTGTGTATTAGAGGGAATGGAATGGAAGGGAAGGACGTATCTAGGGAAAAGGCAGGGGACCGTGTCAGCAAGCGATCGGGGTGGAGAAGGGAAAAGAAAGGATGCATCTAGGGAGTGGGCAAGGGGGAGCCTGTCACTAGTGGTAGCTCTGATGGGGGAAGGGATGCATGCATATAGGAAGAGGGCAAGGAATCTTGTCGGAAAGAGGAAAGGATGCTCTAGCGAAAGAAAGCCTGTCAGTAGCAAGCTTTTAGAAGGGGTGTGTGTGTGTGTGTGTGTGTGTGTGTGTGTGTGTGTGTGTGTATCTGCGACCTATGTAACGAGCAGAGATGTCGCAACAGCGGCGGGAGAATTAGGGATGGCTGCAGGAATATGCGTGAAAGCGGGGGGGGGGGGGTCGTTTGTTGAGAATGCCTTCGCCACCCTTCTTCCCGCCCCCGATTGAGCAAACGAGAAACGAGACGCTGTAGAGCAGCCGTTTTTTTTCTTTTCGTCGTTTATAAAATCACACTCGTGGCATATGGTGCACATGCTTTTTAGCGTTTTTTTTTAATTTTCGATATCGTTTGAATCGCTCAGGCGAAGTTGTGGGGAAACAGGGATGGGGGAAAGAAATTGTGGTAAATCGGGAAACCTGTAATATAACAAATAAACAGCTGAAAAAAAGAAAAAAATATGCGTTGAACGTTCTATGAAGAACGAGAAGCCAGAAAGTGCAAGCGATACCGCGTTTGTCGCCACGTGCCGTCGAGGTATTATTGTTATTAATTTTGCAACATAAGAAAAGACTAAGGAAAGTGTGAGACCAAGAAATAAAAAAAAGCAGAAAGTGGTTGCTGAGTCTCAGTTAGCAGTATGAAACAAAATAAAAAAACTAGACGCCCATGTAGAACGTAATATAAAAGCATTAAAGAAAAAGAATACCAATACATGTTAGAGAAAAGAATGCGCTGAATTCTTTGTCGTAACTCAAGACGTGACGACACCACCTGCGTCGAAACAGAGAGGGAAAAGAAGATGATCGAATAGTTCAACGTTGTTAAGCACAAAGTCGAGCTAGCTAGTAGGATTCGTCATACAAAAAGTTGGGAGTGCAAACGAGGAAAGACAAATACACTACGCAAACTTCTTTTGCGTGCGCGTGTGCTAGGACTTTTTTAATATGGGATAATTTTAGTCGCACTTGTTATACTCCTTCGGCCACGCTCACACCTGAATATGATTTGAAGTTCTCGCGCATCTGGTAAACTGGTTTCTATGGCCCGTGCTCGAAGTAGCTATTTGCGCCCTTCCCAACGTGGTGTACTTTGTGATTGCAGCGCAGTTTAACGAACTTGCAAAACAAAATACCACATTATTTCTTTTTGCTGGCTGTCAGTTTGTTTCATTTTGAAGCTGTTATATTGTTATATTATTAGAGCTATTATATCGAAGCTTTTATATTAAAGATACTGTGTGCACATGTACGGTTGGATTGCCTTGAACTTGTACGTGCATTGACGAGCTAAGGAGTCAAGCAGTGGTTAGTCACCGCTTGTGGGCGCCGCGTTTTCTCTTTGTGTGACATCTTGCGAGTTTTGCGCTGTCACCTTAACACCGGTATAATGCGATAACCATGCCCGAGTGAATATTTTGAGTGTGAACGTTTTTCTCGCCTTCTTTCCCTCCCAATGACACAGGATCCCTCCCATTTCTTCCCTCCTCAGCAGATTCAAGGTCACGCCGGCAGGATATCGACCGGCAGTCGTGGCCTTGAAGCCAAGGAGCCTTCCATCTCCCTTTTGTCGATTTCGGAAGCGGTGGTCCTGCCATCGGTTCTCTCTATCGGTGAGTTCGGAGGGAGATCTATACCGAAACTGAAGCTACACGAGAGGGCGGGGGAGAAAAGCGATGGGGAAAGGGGAGAGGAGGACGGACTAGAATCGGGCCTTCTGAACCGAGACCGCCGTCGCCCCGATCCGAGTCTTGGCAGGACGTGAAGGCTCAGTCAACAGGCTTCTTGCTCCGACATGTGGCGGCTTCGTTTAGAGAAAAGATTTCTTTTTGGACAGGAGTACCTAAAGGCTGGTTGGTTCCTCATAAACTGGTTCGTACCGTAGCGCAGAAACGGACGAGGATAAAAGATGAAGCAACAATGATGAAGTAACGCCTATTATTTACGTTAGTTAGTTCATTACACAAATTAAACAACAAGATCACCGTGTCAATCTATTTTTATAATTATATTGGTGCTTTGACATTGTTCATTGCCTCCATCGTAGATATCTATCTCTATTCCATTTGTTTCAGTTTGATTATAAATTCAGTCTGCTTTAGCTTTACAGGTCCTTGCCTTAACCATCCTGCCTGGTTCTTGACCCCTTCCCCTATTAGCGTTAGCAACGTTAAATGAAACCTAAGACAATTATTGTAGAATAATTTTTAGGCAAATAACTGCCTATTCGGACTAATTCAACATCTCCAAACAACATCACAATAACTAAGCAGCAGGTTGGCTTTGCCGCAATAAGGATGCAGTTGCAGTGGTGCACGCTCTACAGGCAAACCAACCACCTGACCGTGGCGAGTGCAATAGTGTAAGATTACCTTCGATGTCAACAACAACAAACTACTACTATTAATAATAATAATAATAATAATAATAATAATAATAATAATAATAATAATAATAATAATAATAATAATAATAATAATATAATAATAATAATAATGATAATGATAATGATAATGATAATGATAATGATAATGATAATGATAATAATAATAATAATAATAATAATAATAATAATAATAATAATAATAATAATAATAATAATAATAATAATAATAATAATAATAATAATAATAATAATAATAATGATAACCAGCGCGACATGAAAAGAATAAAAAGAAAAGAGGAAAATCCTGGAATGGGAATGAAAAAAATAAAGGGGCAATATACACAACTGCATAGACACCTTCATAAAAGACAGAAAAGGGAAGAATCTGTAGATTGTTAAAAACTAAGGTAAGTCAGTACAGAGCTAAGATAGAGCTTTGCACTGTAAGTAAACTGTGAAAAACATCAAGATCATGTAAGTTAACATTAGACAGACTGTGTTTTGTGAACAGTAGAGTGTTGAAATAAGTAGGCAGGTACACATAATGGCTGATTCTCTCTGGTTAACTCACACGAAAATAATTTCAACGCGGTTTCATCAGCAGTGAAGTGGTGGCAATGGTGATAATCTGGCAGTTTTAGAATGAGATCCAGAGTGATTTCTAGCAAAACGATGGTTGTATATGCTTTTTTTTCTGGACTACCTCAATGGCATCACTGCCAGATTAAGCGATGCCTTTCCAGATCACAGATTCATACTCCATTTGAGGAAGACGTACTGTGGTGTACAATTTCTGGAAAGCTGTAGGAACCGAGAGAACGAAGACCATGCATGACAGCACATTTTGTGTGAGCCGCAAATTCGGCATGCTATTAAAAGAACCCATAGATCACTTGATTTTATAAACCTTACATAACAACACGGTATTATCAGAGTGCGGAAATAACACGATGGATGTTTTGCGAGATATACTCATGAACTTGGTATTCGCGCTATTCAGGGAAAGGTTATTGTTGCCACATCATTCAGAGAAAGAACACAAATCTGACTGCACCAAGCGACAGTCGTTAATTGAATGAATATCCTCAAATATCGTGACGTCATCAGCATACAGGAAAAAAAAAGAATACCGAATATCCAAAGAAACATTCTTAACGTAAATTGAGAAATGTGGGCCTCATTCCGACCCTTGAGGGACTCCACTAGTCACTTTGTACAAGGACTCTTGGCCATTTACGGCAACGTAACATGATCTACTAAGCAGATAACTGTGCAGGAGATTCGCCACACATTATGTGGCAAAACTGTCAGCAACAGCATGTGCTTCGATACCGTCCGACTCCAGTAGCCTGAAGTACTCCCCACTTGTGCTAGACCGTTTGCTCACATACTTGCGAAACTCAGCTGCCCTGTCGGAAAAGATATTTTCGTACTAATGCAATATATTAACCGTGGTATTATTCGTGTAGGCGTTTGGAGCGAGTTCTGAAGGAGCTGAACTTTTTCTTCCACTTGCTGAATGGAGAACATATAGGCTTCTTGTGCACGCGATCTTTATGCTTCAGTGCACTTATAAGTCCAGGGAAAAACAAGTTGAGATATTTCCTATGTTTATGCGTATATTGCGGTATAAACTTGCGCATGCTGTTTAATACAGTCTCCGTAAACTGCTCAACTTTGTCATCAACATTGGGCTTGTCAGTAACCTGTGACCAATCAGCGGCTGACAAGTGTATGGTAAAAGCCCGTGTAGTCCATTCTCTAGAAAGCAAATATTGTAGATAAGTTAAAAAGACAGCTGTAGCTCGTAGTTTCGGCACATACAGATGATCTTACATTAAGTGGTGGCTGGAATTAGTCAGAACAGACAAGAGAGATAGATCTTGGAGCGTGATACTTGAACGGGTTTGTAATTTGACAGACAGAGGTTCAAGGCGTTGTCTCTGAAATTGACGACCGTGTTATGTTGAAGTAGAGAATAAAGCGCCAGAAAATTCAAGAGCAGGCTGCACTTTTTCTCAATGAAGCGATTATAAGCAAAAAAAAAAGGTATGCATGCTCAAGTCAATTCGAGGCACATTGAAGTCACCAAGAACAATAATTTTGTACCCACTATGAGATGAAATAACATGTTCAACGGAAGACATGACATTATGAAACAAGGCAGGGGAAATGTTGGAAGGTAAAACAGAAACATCCAATCAACAATTTTTCTCGGCGAGTCAGGTTGATTTCTAACGAGATTGATTCTTCGAAAGATTCCAGGTCTTTCCGTTAAGCAGATTTAGGTGAACTGTCAATGGCAATCAGAACGCCACGGCCTTGTTGTTTGGTGTCCCGGAAATCATGGTCACTGCGGAAGGTGGTGAAGGGCGGGGGGGAATAATCTGATAAGGAAATTTCAGGGACCAGCCAGTTTTCAGAAATAGCGATAATAGGAAAACAAAACGAAAAAAAACATTAGCGAGAAACTCGTTTCTCATGGTACGTAGACCACGAGCATCCTAATAGAGAATGTCCACCACTTTAGACACTAGGCACTAGCTCAGAGGGATGAAGCATGTCGTCGTACAGCACGCGCCACGAAAAGGCTTGAAGAGGCATCTCAGAGGCCACATCGAAGGGTCATTCGAGCGCTGTAGTGTTTTCTCGTCAACATCGACGTAAAAAGAATAGAATTGAAATTAAGTTTCAAGGCGCCGGCAAGAGATGAGACATACATTGAAGTAATATCATTCTCGATGTCAGCAGCAGTGGTGCCCGGGCGTAGCTTCGAAAAAAAAAATCGACCTAGGCCGCAGCAGTCATTGAGCAACAGAAATAGCCGAACTGGTCATGGCCCCAAACGAGGCAGGTTTCTTCTATCAGCTTCAGGTGGAATAATAGTGGCAGAAAAGGCTGTTGCAGGCAGTTTCTTTTCCTCCCGAAGGAACAGGCAGTTTCATGCTCTTTTAGGTGGCAGTGGTGAGCTTGTTCGCCTTGCTATATCCTCTGTATCTTCGGGGTTTTTGTGCATCTGATAATAATAATAATAATAATAATAATAATAATAATAATAATAATAATAATAATAATAATAATAATAATAATATAATAATAATAATAATAATAATAATAATAATAATAATAATAATAATAATAATAATAATAATAATAATAATAATAATAATAATAATAATGATGATGATGATGATGATGATGATGATGATGATGATGATGATCTTGGTGGAGAATGTTCTTTAGGCTGTTTGTCCTACTCAGCTTAAATATAAAGGAAATACCGACGCATCTTTATCAAGTGAATGATGACGAGTGGGCGAAGATATGTCCTAAGGTTCAGAACGCGTATACGTTGAAGTCTCCGACTAGTATAAAGGACGGATCCATGGACTTATGGACTGACAGGTGGATGAATGCATGGATGCACAGACAGATGGATGGACAGATGCACTGATAGGTGGGCGGCCGCATGGATTAACCCATGGATGAATGGACAGATGGACGGCGCAAGTTCTTCTTTCACGCCTGTGTAGTAGGTGCTGTGATATCAGTGTGGACGACGGTACATCACCGGACAAGGATAGCCCCTAAAAGGCATCATCCCTAAAATCATTTATCATCAACGAAGGTATACGTGTGTAAACACGGACGCAAGAGGTCAAGGCAGCACAAACGTGAACCACTCACATAAAAGGCGAACAACGGGGGTAACTGATTAGCTAGGCCACGTTGATTGATAATATGGGGTATAACGTCCCAAAACGAGCATATGATTATGAGAAACGCCATGGTGGAGGGCTCCGGAAATTTCCACCATCTGGGTTTCTTCAACGTGCGCGCAAATCTGAGCAGCATTTTCGGCTAATTCGTAAATGCGGCCACTGCAGCCGGGATTTGATCCCACGACCTCTAGGTCAGCAGCCGAGTACCTTAGCCATTAGACCACCGCGGCGGGGCTGCTAGGCCACGTGCGTCTTATTCTAGGCCCTCTTACTGTCTAGATGAGATTTAGTTATGTCGATCCGCCAACGACTCCTGGTGACAGCATCACTGTGTTACTGCTAGTGAGATCTTTTTTTTAAAGGTGTTCATAATGAAATAATTGGAAGCACTAACCAACGGGACACAAGAGAAGAGACAAACAAGCGCAGACTGAAACTCAGTTTATTCAGAGAAGAAATTAGATACCAGAAAGGTGAGAAAGGGAAACAACTGGGAAGAAGGTTCCATCTTGATCAGGTGTCGTCCAGAAACGATATTTCACAATTTATTTCACAAATAATAATAATAATAATAATAATGGTTTATTTCCACCAATACACAGTTGATGGAGGGGGTGAGAATAAAAGCGATTATCCGCTTGACTAAGTTCTCACCCCCCAATGTACATAAGGCAGTGGCGGTGGCGGCAACAGAACACCACAGCTGACAAGAATACACAACATTAACAAAATTAGAATTGATAAAGCCTTCAAACTAAAAAAGAAAAAAAAACCCACACAGACACAGTGCAATAAACATATATAGTAATATAAATCAAAAGTCGCAATATGTAAAGCACGAATACATTAAACATATTATTTACATGCAGCGGTGACTGCATTTTCATCCTTTGTGTTTTTGTTTATTGTTTTCCCTAATTGTTATCTACGAACTTTGAAGATAAGGTCTTAATTGTCAGGAGTGTTAATAAGATATTGGCGAAGTTGAGAAAGGGTGATATCTGCTATGTTAACACCTGATGAATATAACCTGTTTAATTGTAACGGTAGCTGATAAGTAATTTTTTGTTGTCCATAGTTAGTTCTTATACGAGGAAGCATCCAAGGTGGTTGATGACGGTGAGGGTACTTTGATTGATAACGTATCATGGAAGCGATATCTGTAATAGTAAATGAACGTTTTTTTTGTTCGATCTTATAGCGGCGTAAAAGCCTGTAAATGTATAGGTGGTAAACATTGATGATTTCATGTTCACTAAACAAGTGATCTGTTGTATGTCTGTGAG